ATACACACACATACATACATACATATACACACACATACATACATACACACACATACACACATACATACATACACACACATACACACACACACACAAAGTGAAAAATTACATCTGTGGGAAGATATGCATAGGTTATAAGCAAATAATATGCCACTTTCTATAAGGTGACTTCAGAAAGGCCTGGCACCATCCTCCATGGACACCAGGGGAAGAGAAGATACTCATTTTCTTCCAACTCAATCAACAAGAACATAAAAGAACTGTCTTAAGTTATACAAGGAGGTAAAATAAACTTCCTCTTTTTAATATTATCCTCCCCACTTCAACAACAACAAAAAAAAGTATCCTACCATACTTTTAAATAACTCTCAAAATCAGAACCATTTTCCTGGCATTCCCTCAGCTCCACCGGCCCTCCGTTAGCCAGCAGTTCAAGACTCTCCATTTTGTCTTCTGTGTCTGTGGCAGAATGTCAATCTCTTTCAGGGTCTCTCACATTTGAGGACAACAGTACCTGAGTCATGGTTTAGTTTGAGATTAGCCCCCACCAGTCCTTACTTCCCCGTGCTCTGTGGGAAAGGAAACAGAGTGTTGGAAAAGAAAGACCTGTCGCCCCCAAGGTCCATAACTGCGAGAACCTGTACAGCCATCGCAGACAGGAAAGACATTCCGTAGGAATCAATGGGAGAAGCCAGGAAGACTCAGGAGGGTCACCTCCTGTATACCCCAGCCCTGGACCTCAGTACCTCCACAAAGACACACCACGCGCTTGTTTCTTTTTGATTTGGGCCATATTGTTCTCTGAGTCCATTATCATAGGCACCTGACCTCATACACATATGACTGTTTTCTTTCCTATCTGAATTTGTCATAATTTGAGCCGCTCCCTCCCTCCCCGGCCTTCTCCTATGTCTCCAACCTTGCCTTTTCTTGTACAACCACTACAGATGACATAGTGTAAATCTTCCAGTGGCTCCTTCTCTTCAGTGTGCATGAAACCTGCGTGTCTCGACTGCTTTCGTTATATGGTTAGTTGGTTTGGATTTGGTTTGCTTTGGTTTCATTTAGGTTTGGGGTTTTTAAGAGGTCAATCTTTCCATGTAACCCATGCATATCTGGGACTCCAAGGATCTTCCTCTTCTTCTTCCCAAGTTCTAGGACTACAAGCAGGTGCCCAGACAGCCTTTATTTATTTATTTATTTACTTTGGAAGTGCCGGAGGCACCTGTATGCTAGGCAAACTTTTTTTTTTGTACTAGCGTTCCATCACGCTTAGTTCCACACCCCTTCGTACCCTGGAGAGCCTTTTCAACATCACCACACTTGCTGGGGCCACACTTGAGCACTTGAGACCCACTCAACAAATGCTTCCTAAATGAAAGTGAACCAATAGGGTGAATGAATTCCCATTAAAGTGACCCATGACTTAGTTACCAACAACAACAATAATAGCAACCCCCCCCAATAGTACAAACATCTGCTAACTCAGTACCCCTGAGTCCAGAAATAAATGGAGGAGGGGGCATGGTATCCATGAGTGGTGGGGACTCCATGCCACCCATGGGGCAACTTCCTGAAGCAACACACACACACACACACACACACACACACACACACACGAGGGCGCATGCCTCCAAGGCTTGGGAAATTACCCTGTGAGCTTTATGCCAATTCTTAGATGTGGACAGGAAACATCTCCCTAGCAAAACTGGAGCTGGCATGGTGATGGAGGGGTGGGTCTGTGATGTGGTAGAAAACGTGAATATTTCACCTCTACACTGGCAACAATCTTAATGAACCAGCATCTTAGTGTAGGTAAAACGACACACAGTGAAATGGAATTCGGACATTTATGTAGAGGTGCCACTTAAACTCCTGTCACTAGTCTTCCAACACCTCCACCTGTACAATGGAATCATAGTACTATCTAGTTTCTCCAAAATCCTTCCTCGGGGTGAAGCACTACTCACCACAGACAGTAGTCTGCACACAGTTAGGGCTCAAGAAATACTAACTGATAACACCGCATTGGCCATTTTGCTTGTGAAGATCAAGAAATGAAAACCAGCACGAATCTATGTCAAACACATCGAGTAATGTAAAGTCCCCAGTTCTGGGCTGTGGAGACACAGTCGCTAGCCCCTGGTGCCCTGGCAGTGTCTGAAGACGCCAAGGTGACGCGATAAGCTCCAGTTTTGGTCCCGGAAGTTTCCACCAGAATGCCCTAGGGTCCTAGACGGCCCTGGGGAGGGGCGAGAGGTTCAGGGGAAGACTGCTGGAGGGAAACGGGAACCTACCTGCTCTCACTGCACTCCTTCCGCTCCCTCACCCTCAGCCACTTGCGGAGCAGGAAGCGTTTTCGGCGCGGGGACGCGCTGGGTGTGGAGCAGTTGGACCACTGGGTGTCCTCGTCGCTGGAGGGCGTAATTTCGATGGACGGCAGTTGTAGGAACTCCTTGCCGGGGGGCAAGACGCCGGGTAGGTCCGGGGCTACCAGCCCCGCCTCCAGGCTCTGCTCCGGTACGTTCTTCATCCGGCGCATCTTAAAGCGCCGGCGGCGGAGCGTGGGGGTGGACGAGCTGGACCACACCGCGCTGCCCTCGGGCGCGCCCTGAGGCTCCGGCACCTGCAGGGCGGGCAGCTGCAGGTTCTCCATCATGTTGGCCGCCGGCATCGGGGTCCCTGGCTGCTGCCCGGTGCCCTCCGCTTGTAGCCTGGTTCGAGGCTCCCTCTGTCGGCTCCCTACCCCGGGGCCCGTGGCACTATCCCCTCTCACGTTCAGGGCGGCTCGAGCCTGCCAGTAGATCAAGTTCCTTTTCCTGGAGCGCCGCGAGGAGGGGACTGAAGGGGACGCCACCTCCTGCGGTCTAGAACTTTAAGAAGCGCACTTCCTCGCGCAGTCCGACGAGGAAGAGGCGACTCGGGGACGCGGTGACAGTCGCCAGCCAAGCCTAGCCACTCGGCTGCCCTCCTGGGGCTCCCCTTCGCGCGCCCGCGTGTTTATCTTCCGCTGCGCTCGCCCGCTCGCCCGCTCGCTCGCTCTGCCGATGTCTCTGCCTTAGCGGGACTCGGCGGCCCCGGACCCCAGGGAGCTGCGCAGCAAACTCTCAGTGGTTTGCGTTCAGCAGACTGCGTTGGGGAGCCGGCTTGGCGCTGCAGGAGAGTGGAGGGCTGGAAGAAGAGGCGGTGGTAGGAGGGAGAGGAAAGAGAGAGAGAGAGAGAGAGAGAGAGAGAGAGAGCAAGGGAGACACTAGATAAAAACAAAAAAAGGTGGAGGAGGTGGAGCTGGGGGCTGAGGAGGGAGTGGGTTGCTATCCTGAAAGGACACGCACAGGCAGCGACAGCCGTGTAACTGTACACGGAATCCCTTGGGGAGGGACTATACCTCCGAGTCAAGGCTGCTCCAATCAGCCTAATGAAATAGGAGCACGATCCAAACTTTCTCAGGGCACCGATTGGCTAAGCAGCTCTGGTTAGCGAACTCCCAGCTTTTTCCTGGGGGGAGGGGAATCAATGGCTTTAACCCTCCCTCTCAGACCACCCAAGATACAGGATTGAAGGAAAACTGGGTGACTTTTCAGCCAAATCTCTCTCTCCTCCTAAGAAATGTGTATTCTCTGAGTTGTTTGGAGTGCTGACCAGGAAGACAGGGCATACATAGTCAGAAGGAAAATGGAAAGTTCCCGAAGGCTGCTTCCAAAATGGCAAGCTGAGAAGAAAAGACAGCTCTGTAGAATAAGCCGAGGACGCCAGACACGACACAAAGAAACGACAGACGATACGGTGGAAAGACACAGGACACACAGGACCAGTAAGGGAAAGATACTGGATACATGGTGTGTGACCTGGCCAAAACTATAGCCCCATTATAAGTGACAGGAAAAGAGAGAGGTAAGATGGTGTGCCCTCAGAGACTCCAGGGAGTCAAGTGCATCTCTGGACATTCCTGAGACTGTAATGCTGCTTCAGCTTGCTGAGGGATGGGCTGGGTCCCACCGTTTACTGTAGCCTCAGACCTCTATAAACAGAAATGTGGACTACTGTATCAGTGTGCTACATCACTGCCCTGCTAGAGGCAGGTGCACCCTAAGGCGTAGACTTGATCTGCTTTAGGAAGACATTCTTTGTTGGATTGAGCCCTGCTGGGGTACAGGCTTAACACTCAACGACCCCACCCCTAACCAAAACAAGGAGTTGCCTCTTCAGTGGGAGATCATAAGGAACAACAAAAGCCCCACTATCTGGTCCACAATCTGGTGCCTTCTCTTTGCTGCTATTTGTTAGTCCAGTTTCCCTTTGGATGAATAAAAATCACATCTCTAAAGGTCATAAGAATTCACTTCAAGCCGGGTAGTGGTGGCTCATGCCTTTAATCCCAGCACTTGGGAGGCAGAGGCAGGCAGATTTCTAAGTTCGAGGCCAGGCTGCTCTACAGAGTGAATTCCAGGACAGCCAGGGCTACACAGAGAAACCCTGTCTCAAAAAAAAACCCCAAAAAAGACTCCACTTCAAGCCTGGAGGTGGTGGTGTACACCTTTAGTCCTAGTACTCAAGAGGCAGAGGCAGGCAGATCTCCATGAGTTCGAGGCCAGCGTGGTCTACAGAGGGAGCATAAGCACAATCAAGGCTAGACAGAGAGGAGAAAATATCCACTTTAAAATAGCATCTATCCTTACAGGTCAATGAGACATCTGAGGTTAACAGCTGTCTGTCATGTCCTGCGTTGACACATGGGGGAGCTTAAGACATCCTGACATTACACAACCTTCTTGAGGCTGTGAAAAAAAAAAAAGGAAGTGTATCTGGTGAAGGGCCAAGGCTCAGTTCACCCCAAGTGAGTCCCCTTTTCTGACCCTTACATCCGGCTGCTGGCTTGCACAGGCATGATTCAGTATCACTATTTTAACTCCTGGTGGCAGAGAAAGGAAAAACCTCTTGCCATCAGGTGTCAGGCCTGGCAAAGAACTGGAAAGCTCTTCCGGCTTGGACCAGGAGGTTGGGCTGTGTCCCTTAACTTCAGAATCGTCAGGGATCTATATAGTTGTTCACTGCCTTAGATCTTCTCCATGGAGGAACACTTTTCAGGAGGACCTGACAGCTTTCCAGAGAACATGCCTCTTAGAAGGGCTGTTAACATAAGAGACCAGAGTCTCCCATGCTCAAGGAAGGCAGGGCATTACCAGTTATTTGGAGGACAAAAAAAAAAAAAAAAGACAAATAATTTGGAGAAAGAAAGGGTACAACACACACACACTTGCCATAGGCCTTCTTTCTTTCTTTTTTTTTAATCTTTTTTTTCAAAGATTTATTTATTATATATGAATACACTGTAGCTGTCTTCAGACACACCAGAAGAGGGCATCAGATCTCATTACAGATGGTTGTGAGCCACCATGTGGTTGCTGGGATATGAACTCAGGACCTCTGGAAGTATAGTCAGTGCTCTTAACCACTGAGCCATCTCTCCAGCCCTGCCATAGGCCTTCTAAATCTAAATGTATAGCTTCAAAATGAAGTAGAGCCACCAACTTCTTCCTCCCATGCACTTGAGACAGGTGTCCCACCCATGAGTCTGGACCTAAAATCCTCTAAGATTTAATTTAAGCTTCAGGCATAGAAGTGGTGGAGAATCCTTGCTTACATTTCTCCCGGCCTAAGGGACAACCTCAGCCAGACCAGATCTAAAATGTTCTCACCTGCAGATCCCAGGAGTATCCCTCATCCCTGCCTGATCTGGTCCTCCACCCACTTCCACCTGTAGCCTCTTTTTTTTCCTTAAAGCTTTAACCTTTTCAACTCATCAAATCTCCAATCAAAATTAGGGGTTCAAGTTTATCCTCACTTACAAAGCAAGTCTGAGGCCAGCCTGAGCTAGAAGGTCTCCCCCTCGGCTCCTATACACACACACACACACACACACACACAAGCCATGGCAGCTATTTCTGTTTGCTTTGGAACACAGATAGTTGCAACTGCCAGAAGATGCCCCTCTAAGCTCCCCAGAAAGAACCAAATGCCTCTTCCTTTGAACCCACCCAATATGCTTTTTAATTGGCGTGTGACCTTTAGATCTTGTAGAAAGGTTTTCCTACGTCATGTTGCGCCTTCCTAGCGACCTTAGGACGGAGGTTACAGACGTTACTACCCTCTCCTTGCAGTCATGAAAGTGGGGCAGAGCTGCAGAAACTTATCCAAGGTCTCCCGTGAATGACAGTGATTAATACAACAAGGCCAGAATCAGACCTTCAGAAAGCAAGGTAGAGGCCAGTAAAATCATATCAGCAACTCAAGAAAATACTTCCCTGATAATTCTGGGCTGCAACTGTTCAGTCGTAACAGATGTTTTACAAATCGGCAACAGAAGCACATATTGGAGGAAGGGGACAGTTTCCCAAAACAGCTGATGGAGGAGGGTGTCATGGCTGAAGAGTGCCTAGAACTCCTATTCAGACTTGTGCTCTCCCCTTTCCCCATTCCTTTCTCATGTTAGCGCTAATAAAACCTCAGTTCTCTGGGAAACTGACCTCATCTTTTTGTGTTGGGGGGGTAGGAAGTTACAGACAGGTGGTATTCAGAATGTCCCAACTCCCCCTCCCACCTCCAACCCCACATCTAGGCCTCCAACTTTAAATGAATAGATCTCATATTACCAAGCGACTGTTGTTTATTCTCAGCCGTACGGAGCTCTCCTTTCCTATCGGACACAAGACACCCAACACCTGTCCACTACTTCTGGAGACTCTCAATGAATTAGTCTATTATGCAGAAAACCTAACTAACAGCTTTGAGATTAGGCATCTCCTAAGCGCACACCCACCAACCCAATAGGCAGAGGCGGTCCCACGCAGCATTCGCAGAAGTGTGTGCGTGAGCAAGAGCGGACTAGGAATACGTGAACAGAGTTTGTAGCTTGCAGGAAAGCTGGAGATGTGGACAGAAACCTAGCAGCAGATGCTGCGGCGGTGGACAGATATTTCCCTCTTTTTATCAGTGAGCACCTTGTGCAAAGGGCAGTGTGGGGGACCCATGTTCAATAACAAACAAATACCCAAGGTTGAGACTGGTTAAAGACAGAATACATGGTCAAAACTAGTTAGGAGTGGCTTTCGCCTTAGGCCTTTAGAAGGTAACTGGAGCCTAGTTAGAGGCGGTGGAAGAAAACAGATTGTCCTTAAAGGCCCACAGCCATCCTACCGGTTCTATTATCTGGGACTCAGATTTTCCAGTTTAAGACAAAAAGCAATTTAGCAGGCACTTGTCTCATTCCTAGAATCCCAATTCCAGGCTCTCTGGGGAAGCTGAGACGAGAATTCATAGTTCGGGTCCAGCCTGACTATCTAGCAAGATCCTATCTTGAGAATTAAATTAGTTGCTGGGTGGTGGTGGCACACGCCTTTAATCCCAGCACTTGGGAGGCAGAGGTAGGCAGATTTCTGAGTTCGAGAGTTCAAGGCTAGCCTGATCTACAGAGTGAGTTCCAGGACAGCCAGGGCTACACAGAGAAACCGTGTCTTGAAAAACCAAACCAAAAAAAAAAAAAAAGAATTAAATTAATTGACATGATTGGCTTATGACCCCAAACAAAAATTTGTCTGGAATGACTGTTCTTGAAATGACTTCACCACCTTGCCCAGTGAACTAGGAAACATAGAGACCAATCGCTCGGGTAGCAGTGAGGCCGAACAAGGTATAAAGGGTATGAGGAGAAGAGCAAGAAATGGAGAGAAGCACTTGAATCCATGTTTCGTATGTGTCCT